TCCAGTAAGAATAACAGACTTAATGGTCTGACTGAGACTGGAGGTATCCCGGAAAGCATGGCCCCTGGATTCTCTATCAGCCCAGAACTAAAACAACTTCCAAGGCCAACTCTTCAGACAGGGATTATACTGGACTGTGGGACGTAAAGTGATACTCGTGAGGAGTGTTCCTCTTAGCTCAAGTAGATACAAGAGACTAAACGGGAAGCTTCTGTCCAGAGGTGAGATGGGAAGGAAAGCAGAGAGGTTTAGGAGCTGGTTGAATGGACATGGGGAATCAGGAGTGTAAAGGAGGAGTGTGCTGTCACAGTAGAGGGAGAGCAATTAGAGTCACATAACTATGTATCTATAAATTTTTGTATGGGAAAAATAAAAATTAAAAATTGTGAAAAAAAGATGCATTTCTAGTTTGCTTCTGTGAAACTCCTCTGAATTTGTATCAATTTATGTATGATCAGGATTTTTCCTGTCAACATCCCAATTTAGATTCTTCTGCTTCCCCGCAGTTATTCTGTTTACAGTCACTTTTCGCAGGGCCCCACATCCCACGCTCCTGCACTCAGAGATTTGGATGAGTCTACACTACCGCCCTCTCTCATCCTCAGACCCAACCAGTTAATTGCAAAATACATCCCTGCAGGGGACCCTCTCACACTCCATTTCCTTTCTGCTCTCCCTCTCCCCACAAGTTTGACTCTGTTCCTTGGTGGTCTCCATTTAAAGGTGTCACATCATCTTCTGAGCAATATTGCCATTGTGAGCCTTGTCTTCTCTTTTGTTAATGGATCTATAGAAGTCTCTCCTTGACATCTACACCCCTATTTTCTTTGCCATATTTAGGGGCTTGTTGTCCATCTCCCTGACCTAATTTAAACTCCGCTGCTAAGCCTGTGGCCACTGTTTTCCTCTCCAATGTTGAATCGACACAGCACCAGAGTGGCCCTTGGTCATGCGCCTGACTCTTCCTATCCGAGTGCACCCTCAGACCCTGCCCACAGAGCAGTCAGAATCTGCATGTTATGGAGACCCCAGGGAAATGTGAGGTGCACTCACAGCTCCATAGCAGGTGGTAGCTGAAGGAATGAATATACCAATACATTATTGCCTTTTCTACCTTTTCAGGCATATTAAGCTAGCAAGACTAACAGAACTTTGTCCTGCTCAAGAGAATGGGTGCTGGTGCCATTGGCTGACATGGGGAAACCAGGGTGAGAAGTAGATTGCCTGGGATGGGATTTGAAAGCCTGTTTGCACACGTTAAGCTTCAGAGACATCTGACTCATCCAAGTGGAGATCTCAAATTGGCAGCTGGACACAGCAGTGTGTGATCCAGAAGCAAGGGAGAGCTGGAGACGTTATGAGTATAAAAACTATTTAAAGCCTTAGTACAGATTGATTTTAATGAAGTAGAGATTGTAAAGGAAGAATATAAGCAGGCCCAGGGTTAAATCACAGTACTCCAGAAATAATGAAATTAATCAAATGTGCTGTTGCCAAAATAAGTGAAAAGGAATGGCCAGTGAGCTGGGAGAGAAACCAGAGGCGTGTGAGTCTAAAGAGCCAGAGGGTGAAAGTTCTCCAGGAGAGGATGTGACCAGTGAGACGCATGGCCTGAGAGGAAAGGCAGCTGGGGTGAGAAGAGGAGAAATTCTGTAATTCAACAAGGGAAGAGTCAGTGTTAACGATGATAAAAGCCAGCTGAGAGAAGTGGCGGACACAGAACACACTTCATGTGGATGGAGAGACAAAGGGTACCATTGGGTTCAGTTATTTTTAAATTAAATTTGTTTGAGGTTGTGCCAAGGGGTAGAGCATTTTGAGAATGGGCATATGAATTCACAGTTGTATGTACTTACATGCTTCAGAAGGGACATATTTGGGAAACAGATGGTGAAGCAAACTGAGAATCAGCTCAGGAGTTTGGTAAAAAGCATTCCTTGCGAGATTCCATAAAGGAACATAGGAAGTGGCAGCGACTAACAACCAATAAATGAGGAAGATATATCTTTTAATAAATAATGAAGGGGAAGGTAGATATCCAGCCAGCAAAATTCCAGTCTCTGCAATAGTGGACCAGAAAATAAATTTCAGAATTTCCAAAGTTTCATACCATCATGATTACATATTAGAAACATAATGGAAAATAGGAATCAAAACTTTTAAAAGTAAATTATACCATGTTGCATATAAAACAAATAAACAAAAAAGGTCTGGTACTATAAGACATTGCAATGGAAATGAGGTAAGTTTTAAGTAACTGCACAAAGTTTTCTATAATAAAATACATGAGGTATAGCTGAAAGGCAACATAAAAACAAAAAACCAAACCAGTTGCCCCTGGGTTGACTCTGACTCATGGAGCTCCGTGTGTTTAAGAGTAGAACTGTGCTCCATAGTGTTTGCAGTGACTGATTTTTTCAGAAGTAGATTGTCAGACCTTTAAATCTGTTGGGGTGGAATCAGGAAACAGAATTACTATTGTAAGAAAAAGGTGCTAACAACAGAAATCAGGTAATATGAAAGAGTTGGAGGTAAAGGGGGTCAGTGAATGAAGCAGTGTGTGCCTAAATACAAAAGAATATCCCTGACGGGAGCTTCTGGAAAGTACTGTGGTGTTTGGTTTGAGGCCTTTTTTTTGTTTTGTGTTGTTTTTGTGTATGTGTCGTGAAAATATGTTCAACAAAACATACACCAATTCAAAAATTTCTACATGTATAATTCAATGACATTGATTACATTCTTCAAGTTGTACAACCATTCTTTCTATCCATTTCCTAGTTATTCCACCACCATTGAGACTATTATTGAATGACAGTCAGATGTAAAAAATGTGCTGTAACCTAGGCTACTGGGTTCCTATGCATCTCTCTCTCCTGATTGTCCAGCAGAATGGAAAGGAATGGCTTCTTCACTTCTGCCTTCCAACACTACCTCATGCATCTTTCTTTTCTCGTGAACTTTAACCCAAAACCACAAACAGAAGAGACTCAGGAATATGTAGTTTCCAACTTTACCCATGTTGACAGTGCAATTCTGTAGAACCCTAGCTTTCATCTTCATGCTACAAGATCTTCTAAACTCAATGCATCATGTCAGATTTCCAACTATGGTCAAGGATAATGAGCAAAGCTCAAAATAGAAACATAAGTTTGACCAGGCTGTCCTCTTTCAAAATCTTGGCACAGTAATTAATTCTGGCTAGGAACATAATTAGCAACAAACGAATGTGGAAGATACAAGTTTTAATAATAAGGAATGAAGGGGAAGATCAATATCGAGTCAGCCAATTCCAGTATCTGTCAACAGTGGATCAAAAATAAATTTAAACAAATCAAATGTCGCGTGTCATCATGACTATATATCAGAAACATAATGCAAAATAGGAATCAAAAACTCTTTATATAAAATTGCACCCATGTTGCCCATTAAAAAAACAAAAACAAAAAAATCAGTTCCATAGACATCATAATGGAAATGAGACAAGTTTTATGTAACTGTACAATTATTTAAAGTTTCATATAACAAAATATATGTGGTATAGCTGAAAGAGTACATAGAAGCCAAATCAGTTGCTGGTGAGTTGATTCCAAGTCATGGCATCCCGTGTGTTTCAGAATAGAACTGTGCTCCATAGGGTTTTCAATGGCTGGTTTTTGGAAGGAGATTGCCAGGACTCTCTTCCGAGGCACCTCTGAGTGGATTGGGACTGCCAACCTTTCGGTTAGTAGTCTAGCACTTAACCATTTGTGCCACCCAGGAACATAAAGGGATATTATCTTAGATGCTTATATTAGATACAGAAACTAGAAATTAATACACAAGAGATCCATGCGAAGGATGAGGCACAAACAAAAGCAATATCATATGTATAACAAAAGATTTCTTTCCTGTTCTGAGTTTACATGTATACAATAAGGGGATTGCTGTACCTGAAGATTTTCCCATTCTTTACATGCATAGTTTTTTCTCACATGTTTTCTTGCATGTACAACAAAGCTTTAAGGGTGAATGAAGGCTTGTCTACATTCTTTCTATTCTGAGGGTTGCTCTCCAGTGTGTTTCCTCAGGTGTCCTTGAAGGGATTTGAGGCATTTGTAGGCTTTCCAACAGTGCATACATTCATAGGGCTTCTCCTTACTATGTGTTCTCTCGTGTCTTTGAAAGCATGAGGGAAAGATGAAGGCTTTCCCACACTGCTTACATTCATAGGGTTTCTCACTAGAGTGTGTTTTCATATGTAATCGTAAGGAGGTAGGCCATCTAAAGGCTTTCCCACATTGCGTACATTCATATGGTCTCTCAGCACTGTGTGTTATCATATGTTGTTGAAGGTTTGTGGACATACTGTAGACTTTCCCACATTGCTTACATTCATAGGGTTTCTCTCCACTGTGCATGTTCACATGTTGTCGAAAGTATTTGGGACAACTGAAGGCTTTGCCACATTGCTTACATTCATAAGGTTTCTGCTTACTGTGTATTCTCTCATGTCCATGAAGGGAGGAGTAACAAGTGAAGGCTTTCCCACACTGCTTACATTTATAGGGTTTCTCACCAGTGTGCGTTCTCTCATGTTCTTGAAGGGATGAGTAAAAACTGAAGGCTCTCCAACAGTACTTACATTCATAGGGTTTCTCTCCAGTGTGCATTCTCACATGTTCCCGAAAGTATGTGGGACAATTGAAAGCTTTCCCACATTCATTACATTCATAGGGTTTTTCTCCACTGTGCCGTCTTAAATGTAGTTTAAGGGAGGAGGAATGCCTAAAGGTTTTTCCACATACTTCACATGAAGGGATTTTCTGTCCTCTGTGACCACTCACATGTTCCCTAAAAACAAAAGGCAAGTGATTGATTATTATGACCACATTTGCCTTTCTCACTGAATGGGTATTTTTTCTGCACTGTCTTCATTGTTTCAAAGTGGAACAACCAGAACCCTTGGCTGAGGGCTTGAATAAAGCCATTGCTTTCAAACTCTTTCTCACTATGGGGTTTCCTGACCACTGTTTCCAACTAAATTATGTTTCAGATCCTCAATATCTACATCACATATATGAAAATATTGTCTTGTAAAAATTCTCCCTGAGTACACAATTGTTTAGCTACGTTTATATTTTTCTTTAATTTCAGAACAGTGTAACACTCTGCTGGTATACTCCTTCCTCTTGTGTGAGTGCCACTCACCTCAAATTCGTCTCCTGGATTTGGGGCTGATCTTCAATGTTATGAAGTTTCCCTTTTTCTTCCAAATTGGACCAGGAATCATTTGTTAAGAAACTTATTATTTTCTCTCCATTGGATAGTTCATTCCCAAAAATACCCTGCTGAGGACTTGATGTTCTGGTTTTAATTTGAGCACAACTACCTGCAAAAATTGGTAATACAATATAATTTCTTGGGGAAAAAATGGTGGAAAGAAAAAAAGACCATTTGTGAATTTCTTTTCATGTACTAATATAGAAGGGAAACAAATTTTATAAGGAATTATGGACATGTGAGCAAAGGAAGACTGAAGACTTTGACAATAGGGAAAACGGCAGCCTGTCCACTATGAAACCAGCTGCTGTAGAGTCCACCCGACTCATGATGACCCCATGTATCTCAGAGTAGAACTGTGATTCATAGGATTTGCAATGATTGATTTTATGGAAGTAGATCACCACGACTTTCTTCCGAGGTATGTATGGGTAGACTCAAACTTCCAATCTTTCAGTTAGCAGCAAGCGTGTTATCAGTTTGTGCTACCCAGACACTATCTACTACAAAATACTTCCAAAATGATAGACACTGGCGTTGATATAAAGAGGATATTTTCAAAAAAGTGAAGTAGGGAGGAATTGAGAAAAATGCATATGCCCAAATGCTACCTTTAAAAAAGGAAATAGGAAAGTCTTTCCCTGAGAAGAAGAGAAACATGAGAACAGATGAAAAGTGAAAGAAGGAAGCCAAGATAAACTACATTCTACTAGACATCTATGGGAACACTTATCCCCAAAATAAACTTCATCCTTCTCAAAGACTAATTTATTTTTCTACTTGATATTTCCAAATATAATTCCTTTGTCCAAGCCCTGTTCCTCTCAAGGACCCTTGTCTTCCTGGTGCTCGCATGCACAGATGCCCTAGAGAAGTCCTCCCTCCACTGCCCACAGGTCTCACTGAAGGATGGCATGGGTATGCGTGGCTGACACCCTGCTCATGGAGAAAAGCTAATGACGAGGGAGGACGGTGAAGGGCAAGAAGCATTTCCATGCTTTGGTCTTCTGGGCAACTGAAGATGGATAAAAGTAGGTTCAACCGCAGCAAAATGACCACGTCAAATGTGTATTAGTTATAGAAGAACTCTCGCAGGGTGAAAACCACAAAGCTTCTCTCTGTGCTTTGTGATACGGGAGAGAATGCCTAAACTTATAAACTTAGGTGAACTTGAGATTTTAACCAAAAGAAATAAAAAGTCAATTTAATATATAAAACTCTGTTTTCATGGAAAAGCTATCTGACTTCAAGTTCCATGAGGCTGGAACTGTGTCTGCCTTTTTTCCAACACATTTCCATTTCTCAGACCAAATAAAAAAAGACCACATGGAAGATATATTTGTTCCCTAAAAGAGTGATTAAACGAAAGATGCCATCGTTACCTACTGAGGCCATGTTCTGGAAGGTTTCCAGCATCACTTCTTTGTAGAGGTTCTTCTGAGCAGCATTCAGCAAAGCCCACTCTTCCCGGGTGAAGTTCACAGCCACGTCCTCCAAGACCACTGAGTCCTAAAAGATCCCACATATTGTTACAACAAGGCACCATCTCCTCAGTGCGTGCAGGAGCATGGGGAGGCTGCCGGCCTGGAACACTGTACTCAAGTCACAGGATTCCTGAACCACAGGGATCTGGCATTCTTATGGGAGATAATCATTAAGGCAATAAAATACAATATACTCAGGGACGGTAAGTACGTTGAAAACATGACGTGAGACGATAATGATTGATAAATATGTATGTTTACATCATTAAAATCATTATTATTCCTGAGATATAGCTCACATTCTAGGCTAGGGTAAAGAATGATAAGTAAAATTATCATTCAGATAACACTGGGTATAAACACTCTGCTCAGATATTGTTTTCTTATCAGACACATAGAACTAGAACCAGAATGTTGGAGTGTTGCGACACTTAGGGTACGTTGCTGATGCTGCCCGATTGAACCAAGTCTCAGGTGGAGGAAGCAGAGTCACAGGGCCTAGGCTGCTCCCCTCAGACCCAGAAGAGGCAGAGACACAGTTTTCTCCCAGAACGGTGTGGACACCATGAGACCTGTCAAGTATAAGGAACATTTGGTTTTCGTAGAATTTTCCAGGCCAGCAGGGGCTCTCAAATCAATAACCAAGTGCCAGAATTAGAGAAGAGATAGTCACTGAAGGGTCCGACCCTAATGAAGCCTAAGGTGATGTCAACAGAGAGAAGAAAACATTCCTAATCAATATAAATAGGGGAGGAGGACACCACACCCATGAAATGAAGGCAAGTAAGTATGAAAAAAATCGGAGATCATCTGAACAAGAAGTATGATTCTTGAAATTTAAAGAAAAAATGAAATATGTATCGGCTAGGAAGAAGGGATTCCTACTCCACTATAGTAGGTAGCAGGGAAAGAGAGTCAACCCCATTGGGTAAAAAGACAAAAATATGATCCCAAAGAAATTAAAAGGAAGGGATTAAAAAGTGTAAAAGCAGCACATATGAAAAATATGCCTGGAAAACCCATGGTGGTTAAATAGGTAATCTAACTGTACAGCATCAATAGGAAAATGTATATGTATTCACCTTTAACCCCTGCAGAAATCGGACTTCACCTTACCCTCAATGAGACTGTAGCATTGTGTCATAGATTGCTGTTTCTTTTTCTAGTTTTCACTTGTGTATAAAACAGATAGTGCATTTCATATTCAGTGACACATTGTGTCAAGGGAGTCCATTCAGAGATGTAGCTGTTACAGCCTAAATAATTTTTTAAAGCTTTACTAAAGCTGATAAAAGTAAAAGAAAATTGAAGGAAATCTATGTAGCAACTGTGACCTTTGTGACTAAATCAATTTTCCTTAAATTTATCTATCTGTTCAATTCAATCATTATCTTGTTGGTGGTGTCGAGTTGGTTTTGACTCATAGTGACCCTATGTACAACAGAATGAAATACTGCCCAGTCCTGCGCCATCCTCACAATCGTTGCTATGTTTGAACCCACTGTTGTAGCCACTGTGTCAATCCATCTCATTGAGGGTCTTCTTTTTTGCAGACCTCTACTTTATCAAGCATGATGTCCTTCTCCAGGGACTGGTCTCACCTGATAACATGTCCAAAGTACATGCGAAGAAGTCTCACCATCCTTGCTTCCAAAGAGCATTCTGACTGTACTTCTTCCAAGACAGGTTTGTTCATTCTTCTGGCAATCTACGGTATATTCAACATTCTTCACCAACACCTTAATTCAAAGTGCTTTTAAATCCACAGTGTTTAGGACAGTATGGTATTAGGAGAGGGATGGACAAATAGACCAATGGAAAAGAACAAAAACTTCTGAGATAGCCTCACCTATTTATGAGTATATCCCACCAGAAATTAGAGGCAATCTCAAGAAAAGATTTGATGTATTGAACACTAATGACCAAAGACCAGACAAGGTATGGAATGACATTAAGGACATCATACATGAAGAAAGAGGTCATTAAAAAGACAGGAAAGAAAGAAAAGAAAAAAATGCGTGTCAGAAGACTCTGAAACTTGCTCTTGAACTTAGAGTAGCTAAAGAAAACAAAAGAAATGATGAAGTAAAAGCTGAACGGAAGATTTCAAAGGGCAGCTCAAGAAGACAAAGTATTATGATGACATGTGAAAAGACCTGGAGTTAGAAAACCAAAAGAGAAGAAAATGTTCAGCATTTTTCAAGCTGAAAGAGCTGAAGAAAAAGTCATTTCTCGAGTTGCAATAGTGAAGGATTCTATGGGCAAAATACTGAACGACACAGGCAGCATCAAAAGAAGATGGAAGGAATACACAGAGTCACTATACCAAAAAGAACTGGTCGACATTCAACCATTTCAGGAAGCAGCATATGACCAGGAACCGATGGTACTGAAGAAAGAGGTCCAAGTTGCACTGAAGACATTGGCAAAAAACAAGGCTCCAGGAACTGACAGAATGCCAACTGAGATGTTTCAGTGAGCAGATGCAGCGCTGGAAGTGCTGACTCTCTATGCCAAGAAATTTCAAAGACAGCTACCTGGTCAACTGACTGGAAGAGATCCATATTTATGCCTATTCCAAAGAAAGGTGATCCAATCGAATGTGGAAATTATCAAACAATATCATTAATATCACACACAAATAAAATTTTGCTGATGATCACTCAAAAGCGGTTGCAGCAGTACATCAACAGGGAGCTGCCAGAAATTCAAGCTGGATTTAGAAAAGGACGTGGGACCAGGGAGATCATTGCTGATGTAAGATGGATCCTGGATAAAAGCAGAGAATACTAGAAAGATGGTTTACCTGTGTTTTATTGACTATGCAAAGGCATTCAACTGTGTGGATCATAACAAATTATGGATAACATTGTGAAGAATGAGAATTCCAAAACAATTGTGCTCATGAGGAACCTGTACATAGATCAAGAGGAAGTTGTTCAAACAAAACAAGGAGATACTGTGTGGTTTAAAGTCAGGAAAGGTGTGCATCAGGTTTGTATCCTTTCACCATACTTATTCAGTCTGTATGCTGAGCAAATATTCCAAGAAGCTGGACTATATGAAGAAGATCGGGGCATCAGGATTGGAAGAGGACTCATTAACAACCTGTGGTATGCAGATGAGACAACCTTGCTTGCTGAAAGCAGTGAGGACTTGAAGCACTCACTGATGAAGATCAAAGACCACAGCCTTCAGTATGGATTACACCTTAACATAAAGAAAACAAAAATCCTCACAACTGGATCAATAAGCAACATCATGATAAATGGAGAAAAGATTGAAGTTGTCAAGGATTTCATTTTACTGGGATACACAATCTACGCCCATGGAAGCAGCAGTCAGGAAATCAAAACAATGCATTGCATTGGGCATATCTGCTGCAAAAGACCTATTTAAAAATGTTAAAAAGCAAAGATGTCACTTTAAAGACTAAGGTACTTCTGACCTAAGTCATTGTGTTTTCAATCGCCTCATATACATGCAAAAGCTGGGCAATGAATAAGGAAGACTGAAGAAGAATTGATGACTTTGAACTATTGTGTTGGAGAAGAATACTGAATACACCATGGACTGCCAAAAGAATGAACAAACCTGTCTTGGAAGAAGTACAGCCAGAATGCTCTTTAGAAGTGAGGACGGCAAGACTTCGTCTCACATACTTCAAACATGTTATCAGGAGGGATCAGTCCCTGGAGAAGGACATCATGCTTGGTAAAACAGAGGGTCAGCAAAAAAGAGGAAGATCCTCAACGAGATGGACTGACACAGTGGCTGCAACAATGGGCTCAAGCATAAAAACGACCATGATGATGGTGCAGGACCAAGCAGTGTTTCATTCTGTTCTACATAAGGTCGCTATGAGTCAGAAGCAACTCGACAGCACCTAACAACAGCAACATTTATGGTATGTGAATC